AATTTGACACTACTGCTCTAGGCAGCTCTTTTAAGACTAACAGTTCAAGAGAATGTGCATACTTGAGTTGACAGTGAGTTTCCTCACTTGTGAATTCTTCACATTAGTGAAATAAAAGTACAACTCTCACCCCTATCATATATTACATAGTTTTTTCATAAATATAAAGATACAATATCATCTGATACCTTGATGAGTCAAAGATGATGTTGATTTTATTTTATTTTATTTTTAAGGCAACTAGGGTTAAGTGACTTGCCCAGAGTCACACAGCTAGTAGGTGCCAAGTGTTTGGTCTGAGGCCAGATTTGAACTGAGGTCCTCCTGACTTCAGGGCCAGTGCTCTATCCACTGTGCCGCCTAGCTGCCCCTGATGTTGATTTTAAAACCAGGAAAATGTAACACTAAGGAAAATTGAAAGACCATTTTCACTAAAGATATAAATACTAAATAAAATATTAGCCAATCTAACATTAAGATTTTGACTACTGAGGGTTTATATGAGCAGTGGAAGATTGAGTCAGCATCAGAAAGACAAATGTAATACAACATAAACCCAACTTCATCTTCTCCAACAAATTTATCATATCAGATGCAAAAAACATTGATAAATGACACTGATTCATATTTTAAAAAACACTTAAAAGAATAGATATAGAAGAATTTTACCTCAACACTATATAAAAATTTTGACTTTAAGCCAAGAGCCACCATACTATGCCATGGAGAAAACATTAGAAGCATTCGGAAAATAAAACACCACTTTTAACATAGTATTAGAAATTCTAGCATTTGAAATAAGACAAGAAAAATATATTAGAAGGATTAACATTGGAAATGAAAGGTAAAAATACTATTATTTGCAGATGAAATTGTAACTAGAAAATCCAGTGACCTCAACCAAAAAATCAACATGCAATGAATGATTTCAGTGAAGTTACGGTATATGTATGTGTGTATTAACCCTTAAAATAAATTGAATTCTTAAAGAAGATTTTAAGAACTTCATTTACAGTAATAACAAATGTAAAATGTTTGAGTTGTAATTTACCTAGTGATAGGACCATTATCCACCAGGGATCTTCCCCCGCCCCCCACCCCCCAAGTTAGGTTATTTTTTTCCCTAAACAGTGCCAAAACTGTCCTGGTAAATTTATTCGCCCAGATTGGATCTTCACCGAAGAGCATAAACTCCAGCCTTTGTGTGGGATGGGACCCTTTTAAATTTTGTCTTGAGGCCTTTCTAGTTAGCATGTCCTGCTGACCAGAATCGTTTCCAGAAGAATAGAAAGAGGACCTGCTTCTATTCTAGCTAAGCCCAACTGTGTCCATATTGAATATCTTTTCTATTTTATAGCTAAGTAACCTTTAAAAACTTTTATTTCACTTTCACAAAGATCCAGCCTCTCTCTTTCCCCCTTCCCTTCCTCACTGAGAATGCAAGGGGGAAAAAAATCAACCTTCCTACAAATATGTATAGTCAAGGAAAACAATTCTCACATTGACCGTATCCCCTGTACCCCCCCTACCCCCCAGCCAAAGAAAAATCTATATCTGTACTCGGAGTCTATTATCTCTCTGTCAAAAGGTCAGTAGCATGTTGCATCATGAGTCCTCTGGAATTGTGGTTGGTCATTGCATTGATCAGAGTTATTAATTCTTTCAAAGTTGTTTGTCTTTACAATATTGTTATTTTTATAAATTAGAAAACCTTGTGTTACCTGTTTAATGACCTACAGGTGCCTCATTTCATTCCAACTTCTAACCTCAACAGAGTGCAGACCTGCCTCTAACAACTAGAAACACACAGAATCTGTCAGATAAATACGATTAAAATAAAAGAGAACTAAACATTCAGGAGGAACATTCAGTGTTCATAAATAGGTTAGGTTAATATAGCAAAAATTGCAATTTATATATTTATACCTTGAATGCAATGCTAATCAAACTGTAAAGGGGCTTTATAGAAGTAGACAAAATCATAATGAACTTTATATGGAAAAAATATTAACAATACTATTAAGGAGTATACTAAAAAGTAAGGCAAATGAACAGAATTTTGTAATCATAGTCCTTAAAACATTACAAAGCAGTTATCAAAACTAATAGTACTTGGCAAAAAAAGAGATCAATGAAATAAAATGTATACGTGAAACATCTGCTCAAATGTATACAAACCGTTAATTAAATGGATCTGTGATCTCATTGTGGAGGTTTCTTCCTTTGATGCAGATTTCGATTCATCCATACCTTCCCATCCTATGCAACTCTTGTCACTATCCACTATCCTCCCAATAGTTTGCTAGAGGGGAGTCTATCCACACTGCCGAAGCTCTTGCTTTTTCCAAACTGAGAAGGTATCACTGGAGCACTCTGGCCTTCTGTCAGTTATTTCTTACTCTTGCCACAAGACCAACCCATCTTCTCTTTTTGCCAAATAATTGCTTGATGTCATACTTTATTTCTATTCTTTGAAGTTCCTTGTTATGTATATACTGTTTCCCCTACCCCCATATGCGTGTGTGTATAAATATATGTAGATGTCTAATTATAAGTATTCACACATAGGTTAGTGTTTGACAGAATTTTAGAATGATAACTTATAAGTTAATTAGGCAGTTATAATACAAAAGTTTGAAGAAAACAATGTTTTCCTTATTTCAAAGTTTTCAATACAACTTCAGTGTATCAGAGAGAACACTTAATGTGAAATAAGACTTAGATTCAAATGACCTTGACTTTGAGAAATCACTGACCATAAGACTCCATTCCTTGTTCTGTAAATTGGAGGTAACGGTATTTGAAAGATAGGCTTTTTTTTTTTTAATTTTTTTAGGCAATTGGGGTTAAATGACTTGCCCGGGGTCACACAGCCAGTAAGTGTCAAGTGTTTGATCTGAAGCCACATTTAAATTCAGGTCCTGCTAATTTCAGGGCCGGTGCTCTAAAAGATATGCCTTTGAAAGATAGGAAAGTTATAAGTGAGGGTCAAAGGAGATAATAATGAGATAATAAAGAACTTTATAAAACATGCTATAAATGTTAACTATTAGTGACAATAATATACCCTTACTACAGCATCATGTCTTTATATTTTATCATGTACCTGTAGAATATACCATCCTTTTTTTTTTTTTTTTTTTTTTTTTTGGTGTGCAGTGGGGTGAAATGACTTGCGCGGTCACATAGCTATTAAGTATAGTGTCTGAAATCACATTTGAACTCAGGTCCTCCTGACTCCGGGGCCGGTGTTCTGTCCACTGTGCCACCTAGCTGCCCCCTATTCCATCCTTTTCAATGTAATAATACTGCTTGACAGTTTACAGACTGCTCTCCTCACAATTCCACAGAGGATAGGTAAAATATTATCTAAATTAAAAAGGAATAAATGTTTAATCAGTTTTCTTTGAAAGTTTTTGTTATAATTTTTGGTATCTTCTAAGAAATTAGAAAAGTATAGATAATTCTGTCTTGGACTTGATTAGCTTAGGCAACTGTTGGCAACTGGTTACATTTCTCTGTTTTTGATGAATTCTGTTTTCTCCAGAAAATTATATTTCTGGAAGTAAACATAACTATTTTTATTATGTTATTTGATTATATTTTTACAAAGAGAACTGGAAAATTGTTAGTCATTCTTTTAGGCCTTTCTAGCCACTCTCTGCCATTACTTTACCATAAGTAGATTGTTTTTTGTATTCAGATTTCCAAATGTTTAGAAAATCTTAAGGTAGCAGTACATCTTTATAGCTCTAGAATAATAGTTTCTTTCTACTTCTTTTCTTTAGTATATGTCTTTGGTACAACTCACATAATGAGCACTTTTTTAAAATTAAATTTGATTGTATTTTCAGATATACATTCCCTTCTACCCCTCACCCTTCTTCCTCCATTAAAAAATCAAGAAAGACAAAACCCCTGTTACAAACAAGTATAGTCAAGCAAAACAGATTCCTTCATTGGCTAAGTCCCAAAAAACCATGTATCAATTTGTACTCTTGAGTCCTTCAGCTCTTTCAGGAACTGGGTAACATGTTTCATTTTGAGTCCTCTGAAATTGTGGTTGGTCATTTAATGATCCCTATCTTACAAAGCTGTACCCTTTTCTGGCTGCTTGTTCATGACTACTCTTTCAGCCCTTTACTTTTAGAGCTTTTAAGACATCTATTAACCAGTACACTTCTGTTAGATGCTAATTTTCATATAACTTATATAATATAATTCATATAATTTTAGATCTAGAAAGGGCAATAGAAATCATCTAGTCCAACACCCTCATTTTACAGACAAGGAAGGTGAGATCCTTTGAGTTTCATTAATATCTAATATCATCTCCAAGATGGAATGGCCTGCCACCTAGAAATGACAAAAACATTATAGGAATATATGAATCCATGTGGAATTCTTAGATGTAACAAAATTGGAACAAAAGTCTGTTACTGTTACTTGGTTTACATTTATTTTCTGCCTTATGCTTTATAAAGACCTTTCTATAATCATAACCGGTCTCCCAGGTTTTTGCTCTTTGGTAGAAAGTTACCAAGTAGAAATGTTTTAAAAGAATTTAGGTAGTGAGTAATGAATACTAGTTGTCTGTATAATTAAAATGAGAGTATTGGAAATAAGAATGGTAAAGATTAAATTGTGGTCTTATTTGTTGCTATTGGTAATGAAAAATGTAATTGTGATTTAATCTTTCATTAAGGAGTAACTGTCTATTTAACCTTCGACTATAAACTCAGAATATAAATAATGAATTAAAGAACAAGGATAGGATATTGTAGAACCAGTAAAGCAATCATTCAGTACTTGATTTGTATCTTTGAAAAACAGAATTTTTAATAGGTAAACAGTTGGTAATAGGTAAATGTAATATTACCTTTAAACATTCTGAAATCTCATTTAGATTTTGTCTTTTGGTATTGTTATAAATTGCATAGTATAATATTGCATATCAAGAGAATACTAAAACACAATGTTCTTTCTAAAATTTTCTTTAGTTCATCAAATAACTAAATGGAGTCTGAGCAGCTGTTCCATAGAGGCTACTATCGAAATAGCTACAACAGTATAACAAGTGCAAGTAGTGACGAGGAACTTTTAGATGGAGCAGGTGTTATTATGGACTTCCAGACCTCTGAAGATGACAATTTGTTAGATGGTGATGCCTCAATTGGTAAGTTGGCATTGCAGTTTCTATTTTGGATGATGTATATTGTTTCAAGTATTTATGTGGAGGATTTAATGCTAGATTTTCCAAAAATAAAATATTTTATTCTTTTGTTTACAGTAGTTCACTATTTTCAAAACTGGTAATACTTTTTCCTTTCATTTTAACTTAATTTCCTATGAAGAAGCTTGGTTTATAGATGCATTTAGAATGTATGTAATTGACAAATCTGATAAAATAACAGTTCTACTTAACTTTTTTCAGTTGATCCTAAACTCTTTTTCCCTGAAACAATGTGATTTACTATGGAGAGAAGTGGCGCTGATAGTCTTTTGGGGGAATGGGAGGTGTTGGGAAGGAATCTGTGGTGAGATAGAGGCAGATTGATAATTTTGGAGTCAGGAAAGAGGTACTGAAAGTCCTTAGAATTGGCAGCATGATACTCTCTCTAAAGTATCTCACCTTTATTTCAGTTGGTTAAGATGTTGGAGCTGCTATGGGCAGTGGATCATAGCAGTAGCTACCCACAGGCTGCTATCATCTGTAAGACTGACTAGTTGAACATGATTGACCTTTTGTGAAATTCTTGGAATATGGTAATTGTTGGCTTTGGAAACTATCAGTAGGAAAAAGAACCTCTTCTTTAACTTTGTGCCTTTGCCTTGAGTAAAAAAGAGCTGGTGATGTTGCTAGAAAGGTTTTGAAAGAAGGGGTACTTTATTGGCAGAGTAATACTCTAGGCCTACACAGATCAGAATAACGAAAGAAAAGTGCTGCCTTAATGTGTAGTTGTGTATGGAAGTTTTTTATGAGTCTGGGAAATGTTTAAAAATATTTTGTACTTTTTAGTTTTGTGCTCCTGAGAATAACAAAATGAGAAGTTGTATTAAATACTTTGAACTCCAGTTTGAGTTTTTATATATGGGCTAAGAAAATAGTGGAAATAATTATTCTGAAATGTAGGAAAACGTTTTTCAAGAATCACAGTGGAAGATAACCAGTCAGTTCTACTGTCGGGGGAGAGTGGGCAACATGAATGCAGGCTAGTAAACAAAAAAATAACAAAGCACCTTTGAGAGAAGGCTCCCAGTTAGGGGGAACAAGAAAGGCCTAGGAAGCCAAATCTGAGTTATTCTTTGAAAGCAGTTTGGAATTCATTGAGGCTGACATGAAGAAGGAATGATTTCCAGATGTGGGGAGCCTCTTGTGAGAAAGCATAAAGGCAGGAAATGAAATATTATGTACTTGGGAACAGCTCGCAGGTCAGTTTGATTGGAAAGGAGAATGCATGAAGGGCAATTATGTAAAATACTGGAAAAAATAGGTGGTAGCCAGATTTGGAATACTGTAAAGGCCAAACCATTGAGTTTGTATTTTATTCTAGAGCCACTGAAGATTTTGGAATAGGACGATGATATGGTCATATCTCTGTTTTAGGAATATGAAGTTGATAGCATCATGGAGAGAGGAGAGACTGAAAGTAGAGAGATGAATTAGGAGGTTATTGTAATGTAGTCCTGGAGAGAGGTGATAAAGGCCTTAACTACTATAATGGCCGTGTGAGTGGAGAGATGAGATGGATATAAGTGATGTGCAAAAATGATCAACTAGATTTGCAGCTGTTCATATATAGAAGGTAGGAAAGAGTGAAGAATGAAAGATGACCTCAGAGTTCTTGATTCTTGACTATGTTTGTTATCTATTTGAGTATATCTCGCTATTTTTGATACTATTTTGTGTACATTTCCTTTGATGTATTTTCGTGTACTTCTCTTACTCCGTAGTAATTTCTGTATTGGAGCTTCTTTTCCCTTGGCTCATTGTCATTTTGGTGAGTTGTAATTTTCTTGTAGAAACTTATGGTAATTTTGTTCCTTTTTAAGTATTTCTCTTGTTATTTTTGAGGAGGATCTCAAGTTGTTCATCTCCCATTAGATCTCTCTGCCATTTTTCTGGAAATTGCTCTAGTGTGGAAATTCCACTGGACCATAACTTAGAAGACCCAAGTTTTAGTCTAAGTCTTGTTATTAGCTAGTTGTGTGACTGTGGTAAAATTCACTTAGCTTCTTTGGGCCTTAATATCCTTATTTGGATTATAGCAGATAATCTTTAAAGACCCAGCTAGTCCTAAATGTCTGTGTTTGATTCTGTGTGAAAGGGGAGATTCAACTTTGTGCAGCTTGATAAGGTAAGACTAGGATTGATTCTATTCAACAACAATTTATTAAGTCCAGAGCACTGGGGGAAAGAGACAAAAATGAAATAGTTCCTGCCCTCATAGGGTCACAGATTTAAACTCTTGAACATAGTCAGTTGAAGTAGACTTGGAGCCAGAGGATCCGAGACCCCTGTATTTGTCACCACATAGGTAACCAGACAAGCTGTTAGATAGGAGCTCAGTTCCATCGCAGATTCACTGGATTGGGCCTGACTTAAGGTGTTAGTATTCCTTTATTATCCTTTTCTTAGTGGCTGGTGAGATGAGGGGTATGGTGGGAGGGGGGAAGAGAAGAGAACATCTACCCATTAGTACAGCATCTGTAGCTTTCCACGCTTACTGGCCAGTGCTCGCCAAATAGATAGAGAAACAGACAAAGAAGGAAACATGCCAACAATAAGCTCATAAGCTTACGTTAACTTTGGTTATATAGTGATGTGTCAGTATAGAGCAAGCACATTGGGGGTGTTCATGGGTTAAGTTTGAGTGTTTACATTATCTAGCATGGCGCAAGCGCAGTGGGAGTGTTTATGGTAGTCTTGGTTCCTGACCGAATGTTATCAAAGCAAATCCATGCCACATATACAAGCCATTTAACTTCCCTGAAGGCATAATATTTATACTTCAGAACCACTGTTATAAGCTATTGTGAAGAAAGCATTTATAAACCATAAAGTTCCATATAAATTCGTTCATATCCTTATCATTTTTTATCAGGAAGAGACGTAAGATGTTATCTAGTCCATTCTCCTCATTTTACAGATTAGGGAACAGAATTAAAAAAAAATTAATTGACTTGCCCAAGGTCTCACCGGTAGGAAGTAAGCTTAATGTAAAGATTCAAACTGAGATCTCCTGGCTCTGAATTCACTTTTCTTGATGAGACTTTATCCCTTAAGAGGATATATTATTGTCATCAATACTTCTTTATTAATGACATTTTGTTTGCTTGCCATAGAGCTTTATTTTAAAACTAACTAAGTTATTTGGTGCCAATAATCTCTTTTTGAAAAATGTTGAAGGTATATCTGATGCAATGTCAGTCTTGTCTTCTTAGGACTCATTTAATAAAAAACAAAAGTTTGTTCTAATGGCTGTGGACAAATTGAGGAGATCTGCTGAAGATAATATGTTAGCTGAAACCTTGAGATACTTTTGTTTTGAACTAAAGATTATTTAAGTCATAAGGTTATTTAGATTGAGTCAGAAAGTAAAGCCAGTCATTAAAAAGTGGTGTTAAGAATTATTTTTCAGTAATTATTGTCATTAAAGAGTAGCGATATAATTCTTGTCTTATTGATAATGAAATGTATATTATCATAGAATTAGAGTAATATATTCAGATGTACTGATTTTACCAGAAAAATTGCTAGGCATGACTGATATGTGAAATAACAGTCAGGTATTCATTTGGTAAATGATTAAAAGTATCTTTAGTGATTGGTCTAGTTTGATCATACTTAAAAATAACATTACTTACTTTCTAAGTCTCTTTTCACTTTGGGTCATGTTATGGAAGATTTGAGTATTAATATTTCATATGCAAACATAATACTGTCTTAGATCACTTTGCTGAATAACTTGAGGAGGGTGGCAGGATGGGAGTGTTCGTGTCAATTTACTTTCTTCTTTCCTTCTGTCCATCCAGCAGCATGAAATAGTATAGAGAGCGCCCTAGATTTGGAGTCTGAAGATGTGGGTTAGTTAGAGTCTTGGCCCTGCTATTTACTGTCTTTGTGATGTTGGACAGGTCACTTTATTTGCCTCTCTGGACTTTAGTTTTCTCATCTCCAAAATTAAGTGTTAGACTATTCATGGGTATAAAATTTTATGATCCTATAATGTAGGGCAGAAAATATTGCTTTAGGAAACTACACATTTTTGAATTCTCAGGGATTTATTTTCTTTCTATATACATATATATATACACACACATATATACACACATATACACATATATATGTATATATACCTTTTATTGATGCCTTTTGTCTTTCCTTTAATCATTTATCTCCCTTTCCCCCCAATCCCATCTTTTTTTCAGCCTTTTCAATATTATCTTTCCATATTTTGTTAATCTTTGTCCTCTTTGCCAGGTTTCTGTTTATGAGTTAGTGTGCATTTCTCTTACCATTAGTAATTTGGCAAAGATTTTCATGTAATGATTCATACATACTTTGATAGTTTGCAGTTCTTTTGAAAACAGTTGTTTATATTCTTTGACCACTTATCTGTTGAGGAATGACTTGCTGTAGTATCCTCGTCCATTCTTTATAGGATGTTTTCTGTGCTGTTTATGAAGTCAGAACTGATTTCTATATGGCTTGGTTTAGCTCCCTTCTGATATAGCTGTAGTAGAAAACTATTCTTTAGCATTCATTAAATAGACAGATTATTCTTTCTGATTTACTTTTTATTTTCAGTTATACTTTTATTGGGCATAATGAATTGTGTATAATATATTGCTCATGTCAGTTTCTCATATTTCAAGGTGATGAAACTCTCTCTGTTTGATAAATGACCTTCCTCCTTTGAACTTACATTGTATTTACCTTGAGATATTGTATATAATGGTTGCTGTGTTTGTGTCATCTCTGTATGTCAAAGTGCATGTGGATATAGATTTAGTCTTAGCAAATAATAACTAGCAAATAAATAGTGCCTGCTAAGTACTTTACAAATATCACATTTGGTCCTCACAGCAACCCTGAGAGGTTATTATCCCTGTTTTACATTTGAGTTAAGTGAGGCAAATAGAGGGATAAGTGATTTGCTCAAAGTCACACAG